TGCGCCCAACAAATCCCCTGTTCAGCGAGAACGGCATAATTTAATATCCCCATTTACCAGAGGTTTAAGTAAGTCTTCATGGGGAGACATTTGGAAATCATAATTCAGTGTGAACTACAGTTCCGCTATGAAATCTTTTAGAAGTTCCTAAAATGCTGAAGTTGAGAGCTTTGGCTCTGGGCTCACAAGACCTGGGCCGAATCTCTGCTTTTCCACCCATCAGCCACGCACCTTCGGACCAAATACTCAGTGACTGATTACATAAAATGGGTATAAGATACTGACATCCTATGACAATGTGGAAAAGTGAGATAAGGCATGTTAAATGCTTACCTTAGCACGTGCCATATGGTGAAGTAATCACAAAATGTCAGCTGTCATTATTTTTTACACTTGTAAGGGCTCATGTTTTGGAATGAACACAGATTTGTTTTCCAGAAAGGCTTTGTCATCTGCTCGGTAATGGAAAGACAAGTTAATTAACCACTCCAAACCAAAGTCTCCCTACTTGTAAAATGATAACAACCACAACTGCATAACTTGTGACTTCTTACAAATTTAAAAAAAAAGCGGGTCAGTGGCTTAGAAGACTAACTGAAACTTGATAAGCATTCAATGCATGATTAGTATTATTTTCCTTCTTCTCTTGGTCTTGCTGGAGGAGGGGTACTGTCTTTTTCTGTGGTTTGAGAAAATGCCGAGAGGTTGGTAAATCCACAGAAGCTATGTAAACTTTACTGGTCTTTGCACCCAGTATTTTCTAAAGAATCCAAGAGACCTGGGCCATAGAGGCATCCAGTGGCAAACATCTGTAAAACACAGAGCATGCCCCATTCGAAGCAGGCATGGCCATGGAGGCCTGGGAACCTGGGGCAGGATCATAGGTCTGAGTGCACAGAAGGAGACATGGTTTGGAGAAATCTTGCCAATCTTCCTGCTGTTCCCGAGGTATTCCGAACCCAAGGACCACTTTGCAGAGAAAAAAAAGTCCCTCAGGGGAATAGAGAGTCAACGCATCGGCATAAATATAGACTGAATTTCCAGTGAGTTGGCTGACAGCTATTCATGAATGAGGGCATGTGGTCAGGCAAGGTTTATTTTATCTTCGAGGGGCATAGACCCAGCAGGCTTGTCCAATGTAATTATTTCTGAAATTCTTTGGAGAGTATGGTCTTTGCAGCTCAATGTCTGAATTGTTCTAAGGGTATTGGTAAGACTGTGTGTGTGTGTGTGTTTGTGTGTTGTGTTGTGTAAATTCAGTTATTTTCAATTCCTGCTCCCTTGAGCCTCTCTTTTCCTGGCTGAACCCCCCAGAGACTACTTGGCAGATGGATGCTGGTGCTTATCTGTAAAGAGCTGTCAATCATGAAGTACCTCAGGGCCAGCGATGTTTCACAAGGGCTCTCCTACCATCGCAGGGCAATCAGGTTGAGAAAGCTCCTGAGAAAAATTTAAAAACAAGAAACAGACTCAGATACAGTCTTGGTTCCTTTATCTGACATGTGCTCAGAAACTGTTTAAGTGGCTTCTGCCTTTGAAAATGGTAGTAATAGCACCAGCACAGTGACTTTCCTTTTTCATAACAGAGCCACCTCAGTGCTCAAGTGCCTTGGAATTGAGTTAAGGCATTCATTTAGATCTGTCCCACATGAGTTTGGAGATAGTGGAAGGGAAGCCAAATTTAAACTAGCTAGATTTGAGGAAGTAGAGCAGAGATTTTAATAATCTCACAGAATGGGTTGCTGAAATTGGGAATCTAAAATATCCAGAGGACAAATGACTTTATAGCAATAACGGTGATGATTCACTTGGATGCTCACTCAACACATCTTCCTTGAATTCCTGCTTTGTGCCAGCTCTTATTCTTGGCTCTGGGAATATGTGCATGTCCTGACCTTCAAGGTCTAGCTGGGGAGACAGTCTCTTAACAAACAATCTCACTACTAAACGTAGTTACAAGGGAAAGATCATAGTGCTCCGAGATTGCATAAAGAGGAGATAAGTCTAGGTCAGAGGTTTAAGGAAGCGATATTCCAGATGAAATTTGCAAGATGAGTGCGAGCCAGGTGCATAGGTGAGGGACTGAGGATAAAGGAAGAGGACCTGAGGCAGAAGGAATAGCAGGTGGAAGACCTTGCGATGAGCAGAACCTGAATCAGCAAGGAGGGAAGTCTCACTGTATGTGACTGAAGCAAGAGGGAAAGGCAAACATCCTGGAGGAAGTTGGAAAGGCAAAGGGGTGTTGTGAACCATGATTTGGAACTGTCTTTTCAGAGCAAAGAAAATACATGAAAGATCTTTTTAAAATGGAGAGTTAACTAAGCAAAGGGGTTTAGAAAGCTGCGAGAGTGGCCCTTGTGAAATGAGGAGCGACTCAGTTACCAAGCGGGATGATAGAAAGAATGAGTATGTTCAGTGAGTGGTTATAAAGAAAACTCCATGAGAACTGATGCATGAATGTGAGGGAGAGAAAGAGAGCATCAAAGGTAACTGCTAGGCTTCATGGAGGATGACGGTGGATGTCAGGATACTGTGCCCTGAGAACGGAAGCTATAAGGTGGCCCCATGGCAGATTTGGAAAGGGAGACCAGAAGTCTAGCTTTTGTCACAATGAAAGATATTCAAATTGAGATTAAGGAAAGGAGACTTTTCTCCAAAACATAGAGATTGTGTCCAAAATGTTCCAACTGGTAATACCAATAGGGACTCATCAAAATATAATATTTAATGCCATGGGAGGTTTGTTTTTTTACGTCATCTGCAAGAGAGCACAGAATGCTAGGAGAAAGTTTCTACACTGGGGTGGAAATTAAATGTGGTGAAGGAAGAGAAGAAAGAAAAACTAAGGATTGAGTGTCATGGAAGCCAAGAGTAAAGTGTGCTAAAATGGTAAAAGCACTTGTGGTCATTATAGTAGTTGTGTTAATATTTGTAGTACAGTAGTAATAGTAATAGCAGCAGCAATATTAGAAGAAGAAGAAGAGGAGAAGGAGAAGGAGAAAAGAGCTAGGAGAACTAGAAGAGGAAGGAGTAGTTGGAAGAGAAGGAGAAAGGATGGTTGTTGTAGCCACAGCACAAATGGTAACAGTAGCAGGAGCGCCAGTGGCCACAGTGGCAGCTGTGGCAGTCATAACAGCTGTGGCTACAGTGGCAGCCAGATAGTAGCAAGGGTGAATGAAATAGTAGAGCTCTTGCCCATCTTGGCACTGTGGAGTACAGCAGCCTCTGTTCTCCAAGTGGATCGAGTCCTTGAGCTCAGTGCAATAAGAGGGAATGCTCTCATGTGCCACTTTACAGATGAGGGAATGGAGAGATAGCAATTTAGGCAGTCTCACCACGAGAGAGGAGCTGGTCGACAAGAAGACGAGCAATGAAATTCTGGACCTTTGAATCCTCATTACGTTCCTTTCTACTATTTTTGCTCAAAGCGTAGCATGCCAGAAATTCCACGATGATTCCCATGGAAATATAAATTCTGGGGGTCAGGGCCTTTGTCATCCTCAGTGCTGAGTGGTACCTGGTGGACAAAGGACTCATACGTCACAGGATTCAGCGAATTAACATTGAAGAGTGAAAGGATGAGTGGATCTTCCTTACTAAGTTGGTTATAATGTCAAGAATGCTTTATTATTTTAGTGGGTTCCATGCACTGTACAACTTTTTCTCCATCTACAGACTATATGTTGCAAACTTGTTTAGTAACATTTCAAGAAAAATCAGTCCATTAAAGTGCAAAATATTTTGGAATTTTGCACGCACTCATATGATTATAAATCCATGCCATAAGCTCATACTCTCAGATTCAAGGTTCAAGAATTGATCTGAAACTGGCTTTCTTCCCACCTGCCTATCTATGTGCTGACAATTCACATTCAGTGGTATTAAAGACCAGTGTGGAAGTAAGGCTTTTTTTCTAGACCAGCCTGCCCAAAGAGAAGAGCTTTGAAATCAAGCTGGGCTGAAGATGGGTCATCTGTAATTCCATAAATGGCTCACTAGGCTCTTTAGGAATGTAAGAATTTGCTTCCCCTACTGTACTTAAGAACATTTAAGCACAGGAAAAAGATAGGATCATGTGGCAAAAAGGGAACAAAATTGGGAGTCAGATGAACTAGGTTAAATTCTATGTTCAAAACTTGGCCCATTTCTTTAGTTCTCAGTTTTTCTAATTTTTAAGCAAAGACATCAGTACCTACATCTCAAGCATGTAGTGGGATTATATAGGACGTTAAAAAAACTCAAACCCCAATACCAGTGATATATTAGGTAATTCAACACATCTCAGTTTCCATTCTCAAAATGTTGGGAAACCATTTACGTAATGGAGGGGAAGGACCTTTGCAAATTGTGAAGTATTGTACCCTGTGGGGACCCACTTCGGTCCATTCTCATTTCCTGCTATTTCCAAACTCAACAAAAGAAAGCAATACAGGGACAGCTTGAATGCAACTGTGACATCCATTGGACAAAAGGCCAGTCCTCAACCATGTCTCTCGTTTTGTCTTCTTTTTTCACTACTTGTTCCCTCTGTAGACACTCAGTATTCGTGTATCTGGACCTTCTGGTTAACAAGGTAGTCACTGTTACTGTTCGGAATTGAAATGTTCCCCAGAACTCATGTGCTAAAGGCTGGGTTGCCAACTGATAGGCTTTTTGGAAGCGATTGGATCATGAGGCTCTAACTCCATCAAGTAGATGAATCCATTGATGAAATCATAATTTGGTGGTATCCTGGGAGGTGATGGAAGCAGAAAGTGGGGCCTAGTTGGGAGGAGTGGATCATGGATGCATGGCCTGGGGACTCTATCCCCCGGGCCCTTCCTACTGGTCTGTTTTGCTTTTTCTTTGTTTTCCAGTTACCATGAGCTGAACAGCTTTCCTTCACCTTGCCTTTCCACCATGATTTTTCTGCTTCACCATAGGTTTAAAGCAATGGAGCCAGCCAGCCATGGCCTAAGCCTCTGAAGTCATGAGCTAAAACAAGTCTTTCCTTTTCTAAGTTGTTTTTCTCAGGCATTTCACCACAATAAGAACTGACACCATCTCACACAGGAAAAAGAACATAGTCGACAGTTGCCTATGAAACCCAATCAGGTGGACGACTGCATAGCAGAGCTTCATGCCCAGTGTTGGCAGAGTGATTTCATCACGCCTCCTTGGCCTAGCACAGCCCGACTTCCATGGTCCTCATTACAGCAGCCAAGCTCAGGCAAGCCACCAACACCGTCCCTGTCGAAAGGACATTGTCATTGCCAGCGCGCATTCTGCTTCTCCTTTCTCCAGCGTTTTCCACGTTGGGACTCTCCCTCCTTCTGCACGGCATTTCGTGGTCTGGATCTCTCTGCAGTAGTCATTCAGAGTGTTAAGAGTATTGCGCATGGAGGCCGAGAGTCCGAGAGCAGCTCCTCTCTCATGGAGTGCACCGTCCTGGGAAAGTGGCTTCACCAATCTAGGCCTTATTTTTTTAGTTATGAGGGGAAAGTGAGAGTTGTACCTACTTCAAAGGATGTAAAAATAAATCCTTGCGATGCTCATAGTACAGTGAGCCTTTAATAAAAGCTACATTTTCACTTTTTCCTGGTATCTGGTTAGCATGTCTGGCTTCTGTTTCTTAGCAGCTTCTCTGGCTTCTATTCTGCTACTCTTTCCTCATAATAATAATAAAAAAAGGATTTCCCAGGATTCTTTCCTGATTAACCATTCACTCTCCCTAGGGGCATTTATCTGCCCCCATAGTCATAGGTTTCATGTTTATGCTCCCCTCCTTTTATGTCCCTAGCCTGGATATCTCTCCCCAGTGTCACACTCAAACGCTGTGACATCTGGGCATTTCCTAGGGACCTCAGCCTCACTCTGCCTGGAAGGAATGATTACATAGCTTTCTCCGGAGACCTGGCCTTTCTCCAGCATCTGCTATTTCATCATCCACCCAGGAGTTTAAGCTAGAGTCCCTCTCGTTCTCCCAGCCATCCATCCATTGTACCCTGCCGTTTGAAACCATCCACCCCATCCATTCCCACTGTTTCGCCCTCCTTCTGGCCGGGATGTCTCTAGAAGTCTCCTAATTGGTCTCCCTGCTGCCATCCCTGCCTCTCTTCACTCCATCACCCAGCTGGAGTGCGTGTATCGCAGTGCGCGTCAGATCATTCCATTCTCCTGCAGTGCAATGACTTTCCTTCATTCTGAGAATGAAATCTCATCTCCTTCCTGTGATGCAGGGCATGCTGGGTGCGCTGCCTGAACTCCCTGCAAGGCCCAGGCACTCATTCTCCAAGCTCCCAAGGATGTTGACTTCTGAAGGCTCCTAGCTGATCCCTGCCCTAGGGAGGGTGCTGGTGCTCAAGGTCATGCCCCCTCTTCAGGAGAAGATCTCAAGTAAGAGCTGGTCGGTGTGGAGGTGCCCAGGCCTGCATTCTTTGCATCACCCTGGGACATCTTTGAAAGGCCACCCAGTTCCAGTTCACCTTTGGGATCACAGATGTTTTTGTTGTCCCTCTTTTCAGCTTCTCCCTCTGCCAAATTTGGTTTTCCTTTCCACTTAGTGCATCTTCAGTAAGGTACGCAGAGCTCCCCTCGGAGCCCATTTCCTGGGAGCCTGACCTACAACATCACTCTTCTAAGGTTCTCCGTGGTCTGGACGCAGCACCCTGCCCAGCCTGGTGGAGATACTCAGTGCATACCGTGGATTGGTTGGTTGGTTGGTCGGTCACCTGGTTGGTTAGGGCAGCATGCAGGAAACATGAGAAGTGGGAAGACAGTCTCTTTCCTGTGGTCTGCTGCCACTTGGCATTCCAGGGACTCTGGGTGTTCACAGTTTGTCCAAGGTAGTAAATGAGCCCTGGGGACCCCAGGTGGCTGTTTACTTCAGCAATGGCGGGAATCTGCCATCAAGGTGGTGGCGGGAATCTGCCATCAAGGTGGTGGAGGGAAGAGCAAAAAGGGTCTGGCAGTGGCTTTCTTTTGCTAATACTTCTTTATTTGTGCAGCATTTACCTCTGAATTGATTTTCTTGTCTTCACTGCTCTACCAAGCCAGGAACAGAAAGAAAAGGCAAGGTTTCGAATGTGCTTTTCCACCCCCCTGCAACCAATGTAGCTCTTGCTGAATTTCACCATTTAAAATGACTTGCCCTGGTGGAAGCAGTCAGGGCAGACTGCTGGCAGGGCTCCTTCTGTAATTTGGTATTAGCCTGATCCCATCAGGCAAAGAGAAGGGGCAGAAGCAACTGCATCTGAGCTTTGTTCACAAGCTGGGAGTTCTGTCCCTTCCCTGTCTCCAGGTTTTTGAACTCCCTTCCTCCTTCCTCCCTCTCCCTCCCTCTTTCTCTCTCTCTCCCTGCCTCCCTCCCCCTTCTCTCTGTCTTTTGTTTTGTGTTTTGTTTCTGGTACTAGATATCAAACTCAGGACTTTGTGTTTGCTTGAGGCAGGTGTGGCACCACTGATCCACATCCCTGGCCCTTCGTCTCTATCTTTGTACTTTGCTATTCATCTCAGATTCGCTTCCTCCCTCTCCCTCCCTCTTTCTCTCTCTCTCCCTGCCTCCCTCCCCCTTCTCTCTGTCTTTTGTTTTGTGTTTTGTTTCTGGTACTAGATATCAAACTCAGGACTTTGTGTTTGCTTGAGGCAGGTGTGGCACCACTGATCCACATCCCTGGCCCTTCGTCTCTATCTTTGTACTTTGCTATTCATCTCAGATTCGACCTCCTATAAGATGTCTCTGTAGGATACCATACCTCTCTTCATCTGACCATAAATTATTTTATAACATTTCTTTCTTTGCCTTGAGTACTAGGAAGCTCAGTGATCAATTTGCCATTTATTAGTAGCCTGTGAAACGTGTGTTGTGGTCACTAACCTTACTTCTGACTTCCTCTTATTTTGTTTGCATTTACTTTCCTTTCTCTTAATTTTCTGTTTAGCATGAATTTGTAATCTTATGCTGATTCTGATCATTTTTTAAGTGAAGAAGAGAAGCATTACAAAATTTAGCATTTTAAATGAATCAGAGTGTTGTAATTGACCATCTACTTATCTGTTTCTCCCGCTGGCTTGTGAATTTATGAAGAGAAGACAGTAATATCTTTTCATGCACTACTTCAAGTACCTCACATATAGTAGGACCTCAAAAATAAAAGAACAGGTTTAAGGTGAGACACAGTGTGACTGGTGCTTTGGAGACTTTTAAAAAAATTTTGCATCTAGAGCTGGGTGCGGTGGCACACACCTGTAATCCCAGCACTCTGGAGGCTGAAGCGGGAGGATCACTGTAAGTTTGAGACCAGCCTGGGCTACATAGTGAGTTCCAGGTCAGTCTCAACTACATAGTGAGATCCTGTCTCAAAAAACCAAAACCAAAACAACAACAAGAAAAATTTTGCATCTAGTACATAACAAAAAGAAAAAGGAAAAACGCAGATTTTAAAAATATTTTATGCTAATAATTTCATAAGTGATTTCTTGGCCAGAAGGTATAGAGCAAGAAGGAAGGAATGAGGTTCCAAGAAGGAAAATTTCCCTTTTGAGAGTCAGGACCTCAATTTAGCTGTGAATGAATCATTTGTTGAACTGACAGAACCATGTCTAAATCTCTAATTCAGATAAAATGCAGAACAACAACCGGTAACTTCTTTTTTAAAGATTAAAGTGCATTTCATCTTCCCTGTGAAAAGATAACTACTTTTGTTTGTTTGGCAAAGCTGTGCAGCACCTTACTCCTCAGATTCCTGGTATCACACTCTGTGTGGGTGTAGCCCCCGGAGGAGCGCACCCTAATCTTCACGTCACGTCGTGACGAAACACTGGGAACTCAGGAAGGTGAGCAATGTACCTCAGGTACCTACACACGAGGATGAACTAGAATTTGAGTCCCATCATATGACACCCAGACTCACTCCACATTCTTTTCTCCCCCCTTAAAGCGTTCTTTTGATTCTTCATTTCCTGGTCCTTGTTTCCTAATTTTATTGTGGGGAGATTTTCAGGATTAGTGGCTGACTTCCCTAGGAACAGCAGGGAGCCATCGTAGTCATGGCTCTTCATTGGGGTAGTTTGCTTCCTAGGGGAGTTTGGTTAAATGCCCTGGAGATGCTTTTGACTGTTGTGGCTGACTCTGTGTGTGTGTGTGTGTGTGTGTGCGTGTGCGCGCGTGTGTGCACGCCTGCGCAGACTCACGAGACTGAATTCTGGTCCTTGTTTCCTAATTTTATTGTGGGGAGATTTTCAGGATTAGTGGCTGACTTCCCTAGGAACAGCAGGGAGCCATCGTAGTCATGGCTCTTCATTGGGGTAGTTTGCTTCCTAGGGGAGTTTGGTTAAATGCCCTGGAGATGCTTTTGACTGTTGTGGCTGACTCTGTGTGTGTGTGTGTGTGTGTGTGTGCGTGTGCGCGCGTGTGTGCACGCCTGCGCAGACTCACCTGAGACTGAATGTGCACCAATACCAGTGGCATCTGGTACATGAAGGTCTCTGCCGAGCACCTACAATGCCCAGGACAGTCCCTCACCAGGAGTTACAGATGCTGGCAGAACTGCAGTCCAGGAACTCCAACCTGCAAATAGTTCTCATCTTTCCTGACCTCTCCCTGGCTGTGCCTAGACCATTTGCAGAGGAAATGGACCACACCGAGGGGACTCTCTTTGTGTTCCAGCCCTAGCCCGCTGTCTCCCGAGAGAAGCCAGGGGAGATGATGACAAAGATAAAGGACAACATGGACAAAGACGGTTCCCTGAAGAAATCCAGGACTCACCATGGGCCTCTTCAAAATGACTCATATTTCTCTTGTCTCAAAATAGAGGAGCAGACACAAGCCACATTTATTGGTATGGACCTGGGCTGGATTTGAACAGGAAAGAGACCATTTGTCATGGGTAGCTCTCGGGGACAAGGCTGGCTCAGAATTTGTCAACTTGGAGACATATCGGTAAAATTTCCGAGAAATTAAACTGGATGCTATATAATTAATCATTGTGTAACGTCTGGGCAGCTTAACTTTTTATAATGTTCTTGGATTTTTTTGCCACCTTTTGATGCACTGATGATTTATTAAGCTAGTATTAATTCAACTGCCTATGGCTCTCAGCTAATCTGAACCTTGACCCATGAAGTAGCTACCAGCATTGTCTTCATCCAGGGTCACCAAAAAAACCAAAACCAAAACCAAAACAAAACAGAGAGAGAGAGAGAGAGAGAGAGAGGGAGGGAGAGAGCTGACCTTTGATTCCTGCCCTGATTAAATACAGTGTCTTAGCTCTAAACTGGCTATTGAGCTGAACAGTTATTTTCTTAAAAAAAAAAATGATTTGCCAATGATTAAAAAAACCAAAGACTTTACAAAAATCTTATCTTCTAACTCAACCTGAAAAACAAGAATGGCTGGTAACACTGCGCCTTTAACTGATACCTGGCACAAGCTGTGGCTTTTAGACATTACCGTTCGTTCATTCATGTACCTGGGTTGGCCACACAGGTACCTGAGATCTT